CCGGGAAGGGGTTACATGTGGTGTCAAAGTCAATGAGTTGAGGGTGCGATGTCTGATGGGGTAAGCCAATCAACCCCAACCAGACCCAACTAAATATCTATATTTTCACCCCAGGCAACGGAGCGGCGCAAAGCGGTGCAAGATCAACAAAGTAAATTAAAATAGCAAAATATATAAAAAAAATGAAAGGCTTCATTCTGGAGTGATTTTAAGCACAGAAAAACAAACATTAGTCGAACACGCTGGACCCAAAGCCGTTGGACGTCAAACCCGTCCAAGGAGCCCATTCACCCATTGGACCCGAACCCGTTGGATGAACCCATCAACCTATCCAACAGGTGGGGGTGGAATGGACGTCCATTCCATTCAGGGTTAGAAAACCGACCAATCAGAGCAGGGCAGATTGGACGTACATTCCATTTGGTTTCAGACGTTGAACGTCCAATCAACCACGGAGTCAATTGACTTCAAACTTTGCATGTAGGCCGTAGTGGATATGAAATACAACATATCCAAATCAAAAGCGATAATTCCGCCGGGAAGGGGTTACATTGTGGTGTCAAAGTCAATGAGTTGAGGTGCGATGTTTGATGGGGTAAGCCATCAACCCAACCAGACCCAACTAAATATCTATATTTTCACCCCAGGCAACGGAGCGGCGCAAAGCGGTGCAAGATCAACAAAGTAAATTAAAATAGCAAAATATATAAAAAAAATGAAAGGCTTCATTCTGGAGTGATTTTAAGCACAGAAAAACAAACATTAGTCGAACACGCTGGACCCAAAGCCGTTGGACGTCAAACCCGTCCAAGGAGCCCATTCACCCATTGGACCCGAACCCGTTGGATGAACCCATCAACCTGTTGGAAGTCGAGCACGCTGGACGATTATATCAGAAGGTAGAGGGGGGGGTTCAAAAATATTGGAGTTTTAAAGAGCATTATCCCATACAATAATGGGCCAGGGTTAGGGTTACAAAGAGTGAGGGTAGAGGCTGGGGGGGAGGATGAGGTGGTCAGAGTCAGGGTTAGAGTGAGGGGTGTTCAGAGGTCGAACCCGTTGAACGAACCCGTTAACCCGTTAGACCCAAACCAGTGGGATGACACCATTTAAAAGTCAAATCCGCTGGACATGCCCGTTGAAGGTTATAGGGTTAGGGTTAAACTATCCAAGTTATACATAGTGCGTGGTCCGACGCCCCACCGTGCGATTTTCTTCGTCCCTGATTGGCCGCCCGTGCGTGCTCCCGCTCCCGCCTCGGCCTGCCCCGAATGGGGTCCGGTCACAGTTGAGCTCCCTCTTCCATTCCAATATCTAATCTCTTATTATATTGGTGGGATTTACTAGGCCTTATTGGCTCTGTGCCTGCTCGAACATCACGCGTCTCCACATTTAATAGCATTGTACATATAGACGCACTCCTGCATGATTGCTGAGCTGCTAACTCTCTCACTCGCTCTCTAACGGCCTCATCCTCTCTCCCTGATCGCTCAGGTC